GCAAAGTTTCTTTTTTGTTTGTTTGTTTTCATTTTGGGTCATACTGGCGATGCATAGGGGTTACTCCTGGCTTTGAGTTCAGGAATTACTCCCGGTGGTGCTTGGGGGACCACATGGGATGCTGGGAATCAAACCCAGGTTGGGCATGTGCAAGGCAAACGCCCTACCTGCTGTACTATTATTGCTCCAGCCCCAGAAGCAAGGTTTTACCTTGTAGCTGTGGGAGAAAGACATTTGGTGGAGGTGCTGGCAGTAGCCAAGGTTCCTGGAGGTATGTGGGAAGCCTCTTTCTCTCACATGCTCACTAGAAATGGGATTCCTGGGGAGAGAGGGAACAGGAGCTTTGCATGAGGGAGTCTGGCAATGCGAGGAGTACCCTTGAGCACCACCTAGTGTACGCCCCCCACACCCCCTGGGAAAACCCAAGTGATGACAACAAAACTGGTGAGATCTGTGGGCCAGGGGAGAGCTCAAAAGGCTGGAAGCACATGCTTCATGCACTTGATCCCTTCTCGCTTGGTCTCCAAGGTCCCTGAGCTCTAGGCTGTGACAGGAGCAAGCCCGAGCCTTTGAGCACTGCCAGGTGTGGCCCCCAAACACCAAATGCAAATGAGACTCCTGGGCCGCCTCTCTCAAGGGTCTCCTGCAGTAGTTCGGGTGGGCTGACATTTCAATTCCCAGATGGTCCTGATAAGTCCACGGTGTGAAGATCACCGTCCTAGCATGCTGGACGGGAGTTAAGGAGGACATTAGTTTAGGTGCATTTTTCTGAGGTCCAGTGTCCTCCTCCAGATTAAAAAAAATATTTAGGCAATGTGATTTACATAGTTATTCAGAGTTGTTTCAGGATTACAACGCTCCAGCAAATTCCACCCCCAGTATCAACCCCCTCCCCCACACCCCCCCCCCCCCCGCTCCCCTTCTCCCATCCCCTCCCCTCACTCTCCTTGGCTGCACGTTTTCAAGTTTGTTTATTGCAGTTTACATCTCATATTTGCAGTAATCCTTGAGGTTCTTTTTACTTTTATGTTTTGTAACAATACAGAACAGCTTTGGGCAAAGCTCTGTATCAGGTGGTGAACAGATTTCACGCTGTCGCTTAGGAAGCCAAAGTTGAAGCCCCATTGTTGGGGGCCGTGAGCAGCATCCTCAACCTTTCGACACCTGCAGGCCGCACCAGTGCTGCACTCTGGTCCATGGACCAGCAGTTAGAACCAGGGCAATGACTCGGGTCTCTTAGCATCTTCATTATCTAGCTCACTAGAATTGAAATCCTGCTGCCCGCCCCCAGATACTATAAGGGTTGGTGGGCGTCAGCAATGTGTGTGCTGGGGTTATTTTTTAAGGGCTTACTCCTGGCTCTGCACTCAGGAATTACTCCTGGTGGGTTCGAGAATGGGGATGGAACCTGGGTCAGTCATGTGCATGACAAGCACCCAACCTGCTGTACTATCGCTCCAGCTCCAATCTTTCCGTTTCTTTTGGGAGCGGCACCTGACAGTGCTAAGGGGTCACTCTCGGTGGCAGTGCCAGGAATCAACCCTGCAAAGGCTGCTTTGATCTCCACCAAAGGACTTGTTTTAACAAAATACTCTAAAAGTATTTTGATAGCGGTGGATGTTTGAGAGCTAAAAGGCCTGGGAGGGGGAGAAATGGGACATGGGAGATGAGGGGAGAGAGCAGCGCCGAGTCTGTAGGGTTTTGAAAACTCTCTGGACCTTTAGCCAGGTTTGGTCCCTGCTCTGGGAATACAAAGCCAACAGCATCCCTGGAGCTGTTGTTTGAACGAGACCCGGGGCCGGCACCGCCCTCTGGGAAACCATGACCCAGGCACAATAAGCAGGGCCGCCAAGTTGCTAAGGTTCCTTTGACTGACAGTTCAAGTTCTGTGTGGAAGGCAGAGGGTAGACCTAGAGGAGAGGGGGCTGCCCCCGGGAGAAGCCTGTGCTGGAGGCTGGGGCTTCCTCACCTGGCTTCTGAGTCCCTTCCCATCCCTGAGTCTCTGCCCATCCACTGTGGCTTTCTCAGCCAAGGCTGGGGATGAGGATGGGGCCTTCCGACCCACAGGGGGTTGGGCCGGGCTGAAGGGTGGCTAGCCAGCTCTCAAAAATCTCCCCGGGGGGCTCTCTTTCCCTAGGTATCCTGGACCTATGCCGTGGGCAAGCAGCAGGTCAGCTTCTACCAGGTCCTGTTGCAGGAGGTGTCCAGGAAAGACAACGAGCAGCTCAAGGCCAAGAACCGCCCGTGGATCTTCAACAAGATCTTGGGGACCACAGTCAAGCTGATGGAGCTGAAGCCGAACACGAGCTACTGCCTCACTGTCCGTGCAGCCAACACAGCTGGCGTGGGGAAGTGGTGCAAGCCTTACAAAGTAAGACCTGGGATGGGGGCTCTGGGGACGGGTAAGGCCCTTAGACCTGCCCACCTCAGCTCCCTGTCGGTTCCTTTCGGGTGGAAGGGGATCAGTTCCTACTCCAGGCTGCTGCTTCCTGGGAGACAGGATTTTAGGCCACGCTAGGCTCCAAGAAGGCAAATAGGTCCAGCCACATCCATTTGCAGATTCTTTTTTTTTTTTTTTTGGCCTTTGGGGGCGACACCCAGGGATGCTTGGGATCTACTTCTGGCTCTGCACTCAGGATTTACTCCTGAAAGTGCTCGGGGGTACCACAAGGGACATAAGGGATAATACAGCAGGTAGGCAAGCACCCTATCTGCTATACTATCACTCTGACCCCAGATTCTTTCACTTAGCAGTTGTGAGCAGGCTGGGCCACATCAAGTCAAGGGCCACCAAGGAAACAGCGAGGAGCCTGGGGACGGACAGGGAGGGGGTGAGCCAGAGGGGTGAAGCCCACAAACACATTACCCATGTCTGCAAACACCCCTGGGGGAGGTCAGGGTCCAGTCTTGGCTCTGGCCTGTTCCTCTTGTGAGCAGGTCTTAAGGTTAAGGTGAAGGAGGCTCTGAGTTGACTACAGAGGGGGCTGGAAAAGGGGTCCCAGGGGGAAGCCTGGGAAGGAAGGTGCTGACGGGCTGGTTCATTTGATTTCAGTTTGCCACTGTGGCCACTGACTTGAACAGCTTTCCAGAGAACAACCCGATTCAGATCACCGTGCAGCGAAAGGAACCCCAGCGGAAAACTGTGTCCATTGGGATGGAGGACATGCGCAGGCTAGAAGACCTGGAATACTTGTACCCCTACTAGGCGGGGGGCCCCGGGACGCCCCCTCACCCACCTTCACTTTGGACCCAGGGCCCTCAGGAACCAGAACCATGACCACCACCCATACTCTGCAGAGCACCGCTGACCACCCTGCCCGACCCTGGCCTGGCGGCAGGACGTCCACCGTGGGCTGGGCCAGACTGAGTCTAGATAGGAATCCCACTTGCCTGGAGAACACCCCAAGCCAGGCCAGGCCCAGCCCAGTCTGTGCCACAGCTGCTAGACCCCATCTGCAGACCTGGGCTGGGTCCAGTTCCCATAAAAGAACTGGAGGTCACTCAGCACTCCTGAGTTCTTCAGGGTGGTCCGGGAGGCCGTATGTGTGAATGGCGGGAAGCAAAGTCAGCTATTACGATCTACCACCATTTCCCCGGGGAGTGTGGGTACGACATCTAAAACAGGCCAGGAGAACCAATATTATGGGCAAGGGCAGCCCAGACCCTGTCACCCTGGAGGCTCACATCTTGGGGTGGGGGGGCATCCCAGATCCCCTGACCCTGGGAGGCTCACATCTCTGTGGTGTGTGTGTGTGTGTGTGTGTGTGTGTAAGATGTAGGTACCAGCCCATGATCCTGGAGACTCATAGCTCGGGGTGTGTATCTGCTGTGTATGTGTGTATGTGTGTGTGTGTAAGTGCAGGTACCAGCTCGTGACTCTGGAGGCTCACATCTCAGGGTGAGTGTGTGTGTGTATAAGATGCAGGTACCAGTCACAGGCATGCCAGGAGGGGCACCGGAGGCACACAACAGGAACTCTTTTAACTGTGGGTTCCCTTCTGGCCTCAGCCCAGAGATGTGCCAAGTAGAGACCCACAGTGAAGTCACAGGCAAGATCGTGAGAGCACAGATGGGGCAGAGTGGGGTGGGGAAAGAGGACATGAGAGGGAAGAAGAAATGCCGGGGTGCTGTGGTGCCCTCCAGGAATGGCCTTGAAACCCGCCTGACCGCCTTTGTGGAGGCTGGTACTCAGTGGAAGCACGTGGACTGAGGGTCTGCACACCTGAAGCCGTGCCCCTTGACTGCCCACCCGCTGCCCTTGGTGCCCAGCGGGGCCCAGCATGTGTGGGCGAAGGATGGGTCACTAGAGCACTGACCCTAGCTGCTGTGACGGTGGCAGCTGCTCTCCCAGAGGGGCCCCACCCCAAGGCACCCGGAGCCAGTGACTCTCGTGAGAGCCTCTGACCTTGACGGCACAGGGAGAGCTGCTCCCCAGCTCTGAAGGTGCGTGGATGGGAGCAAAGGCAACTTCCCACTCAGAAAGTGGTTTTGGGGGACGTCAGTGTCAAGTGCTGAGGGAGGGAGCAAGACTGACTCAGCAATCCTTGAGCTGGGGTTCTAAGGTGAGAACTTCTAACAATGGGGCCAGAGTGATAGTACAATGGGTAGGGTGTTAGCCTTGCATGTAGCTGACCCGGATTCAATCCCTGGCATCCTATATAGTTCCCCCCACCACCCACCCCATCCCCCTTGCCCCAGCACTGCCAGGGGTAATTCCTGAGTGCAGAGTCAGGAGTAGCCCCTGAGCACCACTGCCAGGTATGGCCGAAAAACTGAAAAAATTAGAAAGAGAAATAACAATGGGGCTGAAGGGATAGTACAGTGGGCAGGGCAGTTGCCTTGCTCATGCCTGGCCTGAATCAATTCCCGGCACCCCAAGTACCACCAGGAGTGATCCTTGAGCACAGAACCAAGAATAAGCCCAAAACAATAAAAATTATAACCAGACATAAAAGTGATTTATTTGGTCAACAGCTGGGGCCTGCCCTGGGCAGAGCTGATGGGAGAGAAGGCAGCAGACACCGCCCGGGCCAGCACCTGCGAGGTCCAAGCGATGCCCTCCATGGCCGCCTGCGCCAGGCAGGTTCCCACTGGGGCAGTCAAAGACAGAGGCTTCGTTCTCCAGCCACCTCCTGATCCCAGGGGGAGGCAAGTCCAAGTGTGAGTCCGAGAGAGCCAGAGATTCCTCATCTTCTCCATCTGCGGGCAACAGGAAGAGGATGGGGCTGGTGCTCCAACTGGGACCTCACCCAGGGCCCTCCCAAGGCGGCCTGGCACAAACCGCGGGGCACATGTCTGCTTCAACCATCTTGTCTGCTGAGGTCTGACACTACCCTCTGCCCCGACTTTCAGGATCGTACCCCGAGGGGCACAAGGTCTCAGGATCAAGGCTATAAGCCTCCCCCCAACCCCCCCTCCCCTGCATCTCCCTAGCCCAGTAAGGTCCAGTCTCCCCCTTGCCCTGGGCACTAGTTCCCTCCGGGGCACCTGGGCACTCTAAAGTCCTCCTAATGTTCCACCCCAGAAGGGAAAGTCGCACGGAGCGAACCTAGGGACATCATAGTCGAGCAGCCACCCGCCATCTCCCCAAACTCACATCCGGAGGCATTTGTCCTTGCCCCCACTGGCCACTCTCTGCCCGTCTGGACTCCAGTCCACAGCATACACCTGAGTGGGGAGCAGAGGCCAGTGAGAAGGGCTGTGGGGAACAGGGCTCCAGCTGCCCCCCCAAGCCCTGTCCGCCCATGGGGGTCACCGTGCCTCATCCGCGTGGCCTGGCAGGTCCATGGACAGCTTCTGGGCCTTCACGTCCCACACCTTCAGTGTGCTGTCACTGCTGCCGCTGACCAGGAGTCGGCTGTCGGCCGACCAGGCAATCTGGTACACGGCAGCCACGTGGCCCCGCAGGGAAGCCAGGTACCTGCGCCAGGGAAGAACATTGGATGGCCACTGGAGCTGCCCATTCGCCTGGCGGGGGGCCCTCTGTGGCTGCCATGGGGCTACTTGTGTCACAGTGGCCCTGGAGCGCCCACGTGCCTGTCTCCAGAGCAAGGCTGCTGCTGCCCCTTGCCAGGTCTTGGTGCCTGTGCGACTCCGTGGGCCTTAGGGTCCAAGGTGGCCATCTGTGCAGCTCCCCTGCCCCCACCCAGCAGCTGCCTCCTGGAAGGTGGCAGGGAGTGACGGCCTCAGTTTCCTTCCCCGTCTCTGGTTTCTTGGGGTCACACCCAGCGATGCTCGGGGCTTACTCCTGGTTCTGCACTCAGGGATCACTCTTGGTGGGCTCAGGGGACCCTATGGGATGCCAGGATCGAACCTGGGTTGGTGTCGTGCAAGGCAAGTGCCCTCCCCGCTATGCTGTCTTCTAGGCCCCCAGTTTCCTTCCCAACAAGGAAGCAAAGGGCTTACTTTACAGCCCTGCAGTGTGGAGGGTCACAAAAGAGACGGAGGCCCCCGTTAGCCCCAAACGGGGTTCTCCTAGTCCCCTTCCTCTTGGTGCCTTTCCTCCACGATACTTAGCCCCCAGAGCACTGCATCTCAACGCCCCCTCCCCTCCCAGGGCTGCAAGCAGATTCGCCTGCTGACCTCCCATCACAAGGCCCCGACAGGAAAGCCGGCTGGTGCCTCCCAGTCCTCTGCAGCAGCCCCTTAGGAAAGCGACTGGCATTTCATGGGCCGCATTTAAGAGGACACAGCCGCTGGGAAAAGCCACGTCATCCCCTGCCAGGAGCACGCCTCTTCCCAAACAGCAGTGCCCCCCTCACCCCCCCGACAGCCCACTCACTTGCCCGTCCTGCCATCCCACAGCTTGATGGACTTGTCGAAGGAGGCACTGGCGATGATGCGGGCGTCGGGGGAGAAGCGCACCTGGTTGATGAGGGCCTGGTGTCCTGTCATGCGTGCAAGGGGCTTCTTGTCCTCTGCGGGGGTCCACAGGTATAAGGTGAAGTCATCGGAGCCAGACACCATCCTCTCAGGGCCCTGGCCCTAGGGGAGGCAGAGCGCAAGCCTCTTGGGGCAGGACCCAGGCCAAGACAACCTGCCATGGGAGCCAGGGGGCTGGGCAGTCACCCTCCCTCCCCCCCAGAAGAAAGGGCACAGGGGGCAGTTGGCAAGGTCTCGGTTCCCATGAAAAGGCAAGGCTGCGAATGGCATGATGGGAGCTCATGGGGCTTGTGTGTGTGTAGCTGCACAGCACCCAGTGTACAGACATATTTTTGGCCATACCCTGCGGTGCTCGGGGGCTATTCCTGGCTTTTTGTTCAGAAGAGACCCTGGCAATGCTAAGGGGACTGTACCTGATGCCGAAGAGCCAATCAGGGCCACCGGCCAAAGCAGCTTCTTGCAAGGCAAGTGCCTTCCCTTCTATACTCTCTCTGGTCCCCTACACGGGAACTTCTGAAGTTGACACAAGCAATTGGATGCCTCCAGATAGAACAGAGAGGGCTGGAGCGATAGTACAGTGGGTAGGTCGTTTGCCTTGCATGCGGCCGACCTGGGTTTGATTCCTAGCATCCCATATGGTTCCCCGAGCACTGCCAGGAGTAATTCCTGAGCACAAAGCCAGGAGTAACCCCTGTACATCGCTGGGTGTGACCCCTGGCCCTCCCCTCCCCCAAAAAAACAAGGAATAGAGAGTGTTGGATAACACTGGTATGGTTTGTCCTTGCTCTTCCCAAAGGGAGTTTAGATTTGCCCAGTTACTCCCACCAACAGTGCTCCCGAGCCACACCCAATTCCATCAGGCACTAATAATCCTATATTGCTTTTCTCTTTCCTTTGTCCTTTGCATGGTTGGTTTAGCAATGTCCTTTTTGTATAGACAAAGGAAAACAGTTCATGCTGTGCTTTTGTAATATGTGAATTAATTGACTCAATAATGTTTACACCTGGGCATTCCTCATGTTTACTTGACTAGGCCTCAGTGTTGCCCTTAGTTCCTAACACCCCAAAACGGGGGTCCCTCCGAGGGACAAGAATGGGCCCAGGGCAAGCCGGAAGCTACCCTGGCTTCAAAAAGGGCCACGCTAATTGCCATATGAAGTATAAGTGACGAGCACGGTCATGGAACAAACTCATGACCCAAAAGCAACTGAGTAAGGACCCTGTGAGGTTAGAAAAAACTAACCTGGCCTGAGGACTGTAGTCTGGGATATACGGCAAGACAGGAGGAGCCACTCTTTAAGCTTTAATACTCTTTAATACATCTCTTATTGTGTTCATACAAAATGACAAAACATTAGTATTCAATGGTTGTCTAAATGGATTACTAGAAAGGAGAAAGCAATATGCCCTTAGATGGAATCCCGCCCTTGAGCAGATCTAGTGATCTAGAGTGCTAAACCCCCAGAAAAGATTTTGTCCTTGAGTTAATCTAGAACTTCCGCTGAAGGACTTTACATCTGTTTATTGTTGTGATAATGTTCAACCACATCTATATGTACCCCCCTTATTTCACAATTTCTGATTTTTTTTTCTTTTTGGGTCATACCCCATGATGCTCAGGGGTTACTCCTGGCTCTGTGCTCAGAAATTACTCCTGGCGGTGCTTGGGGGAACCACATGGGATGCTGGGAATCGAACCTGGGGTTGGCCACATGCAAGGCAAACACCCTCCCTGCTGTGTAAGTGCTCTAGCCCCAATTTCTGATTTCTATGTAACTATGCTCTAAGAAGAAAAACAGGCCACTGATTACCAACCAGCTGTGGTCCTGTTCCTTGTTGTCAGCTGGCTGGGAGAACAGTTCTCGGCCAATGAATGCACCCAGTTTGAATTTACAGGAGAGATATGCAAGGGTGAGGGATTCTCACTATCTACCCTGTTCTGGGGAATACACCTGGCAATGTTTAGGGCTGAACCCTCGCTTTGCATTCAGGATCACTCCTGGTGGGGCTCAGGGGATCGAACCCAGGTTGGCTGTGCGCAAGGCAAGTGCCCCACCATCTACCTTTACCTGAAACTCAGACCACATGAAAGAGTCACTTAGATAAATGTCACTTGAGAAAGAAACAAGTAGCAAGAAAGCAAAGCAAAAACATTCCCTAGCATAAAGATTTTTAGGATGGCACACGAATGTACCATCACGCATGTAACTTTCTAGAAAAGAAATCAGAAGACCTGAGTGGGGGGGCGCGGGAGGGCTGGGGACACACTCACCCGCACCAGGTTGTACCGCTTCAGAGCCCTCTCCTTCCACTCCACCACTGTCCAGGCCACCGCGGGGGAGGGAGAGCGAACAAGGCTGATGAGAAAACGGAAGGGAAAGCCCAGCCTGGGCTGGCCCCTCCCCCAGCGCCCCCACCGGCCTTCTCCTGGCACTCACAGGACCCCTGGAGGTCTTGGGGATTGATGGTGGCCTCCGCTGGCTCGAAGGCGCCCGTGCGCAGGGCGTAGTCAGTGCTGAGTGCCAAGGTGTTCACCCAGTGGCCGTGGCCCTGCAGGGTCCGGCACAGCACGCCCTGGGAGGGGGAGAAGGGAACAGCATGTCCGATTGCAGGTGGACGCCCCCACGTGCTCCAGCCCGGGGAGCTGCAGCCCCGCAGGGCGCCCAGAAGAGCCTGGAAGAGCTGGGGCCCAGGGTCAGCGCCCCGAAGACCCAGGGCACAATCTCTGTGATCTGCCACCACCACTCTGGGCCCAGCGCTCTGCATTCGGGAAACAAGGCCCCAAGCCCAGTCCGTAGTCCCTGGAAATGGGGGTCAGGGAAGGAACGGAAGCCAGGACAGATGAAAGGGGGGCCAGGCTGCGGAACGGCAGATTCACTCAGCAGCGCAGCCGGGCTCCGGGCTGCCCAAGGCAGAAATGCTGGAACCTGCCCCTGCAGCCCCCTCCCCCAGGGGCCCCCCCGGGTCATCCCCACCCACGTACGTCATGAGCGCGCCACACTTTGATGGTCCGGTCCTGGGAGGAGGAGTACAGGAGCCCGTCGCCGCCCCACCGGACACACGTGACCGAGTGCGTGTGACTCGTGAGGATGCGCTCGCAGCGGCCGCCGACCGTGTCCCACACCCGCACGCTGCCGTCCTTGGAGCTGCTGGCCACGTAGCGGCACTCAGGGTTGCTGCGGGGAGGGAGGGACGGGGAGTGGGGATGGTGGAATAAGCGTCACTGTGGAGGTGTTCGTTTATCTGGGTGCCACACTGTCAGCACCCAACAGAGCACGTGTTGGCAGGACCAAATTCCCCAGCGGGTGCGATAGTACAGCAGGGAGGGCGTCTGCCTTGCGCAAGGCAGACCTAGATTCCACCCCCCCCCCCCCATCCCAAATGGCTCTTGAGCACCACCAGGAGTAAAAATTCCTCAGCACAGAGCCAGGAGTAGCCCCTGAGCATTGTAGGGTGTGACCCCAAAAAGCAAAGAGCCAGGAAAAAAACAAAAAACACCCCCAAAATCCCAAACCAAAACAACCCAAATCAATTCAGGGCTCCCACACATGCAAAGCACATGCTTCAGCCCTCTGAGCCAGCTGCATGGTGGCCCCCTGTGTTGTGGGGTGCTCATGGCTTATTACTCCTGGCAGGGCTCAGGTCGTAATATGTTGTACCAGGGATCGACGAACCCAGATAAGCACCATGGAGGGCAGGCACCTAACCTGGTGTACAACCTCCCTGGCCCTGTGGCTGTTTTTGTTTCTTACTCCCTGCCCCTGGCTTACTCGGGGATCACTCTTGGCAGTGAAAAGGGACTGTATCAAACCCGGATGGACCAGATGCGAGGCAAACGCCCTGCCCGCCGTGCTATCACTCCAGCACCCCCACTGCTGTTTTTAAGTGTCATTCCTATTCCCCTCCCACCTCCCAATTCCCACAGCCCATACACAGACTGGGATCACACCTGGTCTGGGTCTGGGGGACAGAGCACTCTACCAGGGAACCACGCCTGGGCTGGGACCCTCCTGATGACCCCCCCCCCCCCCCACACACACTCTCGCAACGGTCAGCAGGGGCACTTACATGTGGAGGGGCTCCCAGCTCAGCCCGGTGATCCACTTGCTGTGGCCGGTGAGGGCCCTGCCCACCTGCTTCCCTGTGCTCGGGTCCCACAGAAGAATCTGAAGGGTAGAAGCTCATCAGACACCTTTTCCCCTACCCCCTCAATCTCTCCCTTGTCCCACCGAAGATTCCCCCAGCATTCTTCCCTTCTCCCAACCTGTAGATCCCCGGACGTGGCTCTGGCCCAGGTACCCGGATGGAAACCCATAGTGCTGTCCTGACCGCCATCCACCTGGGCTTTCAATTCCTTTTCACGTTTTTTTTTTTGTTTTGTTTTGTTTTTTGCTTTTTGGGTCACACCTGGCGATGCGCAGGAGTTACTCCTGGCTCTGCACTCAGGAATTACCCCTGGCAGTGCTCAAGGGACCATATGGGATGCTGGGAACTGAACCCGGGTTGGTCGCATGCAAGGCAAACGCCCTACCCTCTGTGCTATTGCTCCGGCCCCTTTTCACGTTCTTTTTGCTATTGTTTTGCTGTTTTTGCTTTTTGGGTCACACCCAGTGATGCTCAGTTGTTACTTCTGGCAGTAATAGGGGGGGTCATATGGGATACTGGGGATTGAACCTGGGCCGGCCACATTCAAGGCAAACAACCTACCCGCTGTACTATCGCTTGGGCTCCTTCTTTTTGTGTTCATGATCCTGGGGCCACACATGCGAGCTCAGGGGCTACTCCTAGTCCCAGTACTGGGGGAATCACTCCTGCCTTGGTGGTGCTCAAGGGACCATGTGGTGCCAGGATCCAACCGAGGCCCACTGCAGAGCGGAGCATGTGCTCTGGCCCTTTCTGGCCCTTGGTGCGCTCTGCGCAGTCTTTTGGCTGCCAGGATGAAACCTGGGTCCTAAGACGTGTGGTACACGTACCTGGCCGTTTTTGCAGCCTGAGGCCAACTTCAGGCCGTCTGGGGACCAGGAAACGGCGAGGACCCAGTGCCTGTGTCCTGAGAAAGGGGAGAGGGAGGCATCAATCTGTGCCCACCCACCCCCGGGGTGTGGCCACACCTGGCACACTGCCAGAGCTCCAACTACTGAGTAAAAAAAATGTGTGATAGAAGCAACAGCATGAAAGGAGAGATGTGGCTTTCTGGGAGGACCTACCCCCAGGGGGAGGCTGCCCCGTTCTGACACCTCCTCAGGTGACACAGCTAAAGTGTGCTTAGGGGACCCCATGGTGCCGGGGATGGAACCTGGTGTCCCATACGCAGAGCCTGTGCTCGGTGCACTGTGCTCTCCCAAGCCCCAATCTTGGCTTATTTCTCTATTAATTCCTCAGGCTCGCTGTGGTTGCTACCCAGGAGCTCAGTTGTCCAGGATGCTAAAGGGGTGGAGTCAGTTCTGCAACCGCTCAGGAACCAGTTGTGAAGTGTGTGTGTGGGGGGGAGGGGTGCAGGGGGGGCTGTTGCATTCCCCCAACCCCCCACAGTAAGCACATACTGACCCTGACATGTGAAGTGTGGCGTCTCTGTGCTGAGATCCCAGAAGCGCACCGTGGTGTCCCCAGAGCCACTGGCCAGGTACCTGGGGGTGGGGGGCAGAGAGTGAGCCTGACCCTGCAGTGAGCATCCTCTGTACCACACCTGGGCACCTGTGCTCCCTACGGTCTCCTGCGAGCAGACTTCCCTCTCTATAGGGTGGGAAGAAGGTTAACACTGGTGCCATTAGCAGACCCTTGGCCCTAGGCCATCTCTCTTCTCTTCCTTTCTAAGAGGAAAGGACAACCAGACTAGATGCCTCTCATCATCCTCATGGGCCTGCCCGAAGGCAGAGGATGCAGCTTCAGGGGAAGGATGCAGCTGGAAAGTCACGTGGCCTGCCTGGATCTTAGAGTACTGAAAGGATCCTCTAAGGTGGGTGTCTTTGGCCTTTGGGGTCCAAGTTCCACCATGAAGTTCTTTACTTGCAATCTGAGCCCAGAGTTTGGGGGTGGGGGGAGGTGTCTAAAAAAAGCCAAGAGCCCCACTGACAGTAACACAGGTTAGTAATACGTGTACCCACCCCTATCGGAGCCACCATGATCCTGCAGCTGTCCTTACTTTCCCGTGGGGCTGAAGGCCACGGAAATGATGGCCTCGCTGTGCATCTTCAGCGAACTGGTGCAGCGGGTCACGGCACGGACCCGGAAGATAGCCTGTGGCTGGTAGATGATGTCCAGAACCTTCTCTGTCTCCACCGCCTGCGACTCCAGTGTCTTTGCCAGTGAGGAGACGATCTCAGCATCGTGGACATAGAAAGCCAATGGCACGGGATCCTCCTGGAGGGGGTCAGCAAACAGAGGGCAACTCCCCGTCAAAGCAGGGGCAGGGCCCAGTGACAAGGAGCTATGGGGTGGGGAGCTTCTTCCAGCAATGCTCCCGGGACACCACAGCACCTCCAGGGCCTTGGAGCATCAGCTTTTAATCCTCTAAAAATTATTAAGACGGGTTGAAGCAATAGCACAGCGGGTAGGGCGTTTGCCTTGCACGTAGCCAACCTGGGTTCGATTCCCAGCATCCCATATGGTCCCCTGAGCACCGCCAGGGGTAATGCCTGAGTGCAGAGCCAGGAGTAACCCCTGTGCATCGCTGGGTGTGACCCAAAACGGAAAAAAAAAATTACTAAGACTTTCACATGACACGTCAACATCCTTCCTCTTCATAAAATACTCCCCCAGTGCCCTATCCAGAGAGACAGCACAGCAGGGAGGGCATTTGCCTTGAATGAGGCTGACCCGGGTTTGATCCCATATGGTCCCCCAAGTATCACTAGGAATAATTCCTAAGTGCAGAGCCAGGAGTAAGCCCCAAGCATTGCTGGAAGTGGCCAAAACCAAAATTAAATAAATACTCCACATAATATGCTTGCTTTGCATGTGGCCCACTAGGTCTGGCATAGTATGCCCCCCTCCCCCACACCAGGAGAGTAAGCCCAGAGCACCACCGGGTATGGCCCAAGAACCAAAAAAAAAAAAAGCAGATTCTTCCTTTGCCTCTTCACCTGGTGTGTGAGTGGTGAGTAGTTTGCACTGGGGTTCAGGTACTGCATTTTTGTACTAGGCCACATCCAGCAATGCTCAGGGATCACTCCTGGCCCTGCTTGGGGACCATTTGGGAGTAGGAGCTAGCTGGGGTCAGTGTGCATGAAACTAAGTGCCTTACCTGTTACACCATTCTTCCGGGTCCTGCATTTTGTTTTGGATCACACCTGGCTTTTTTTTTTGGGGGGGGGGGTCACACCCGGCGATGCTCAGGGGTTACTCCTGGCTCTGTGCTATCACTCTGGCCCCACAACTGGCAATTCTTAGGATTACTCCTGGTGCACTCAGGAGACCATATGGGATACCAGGGATCTAACCTGGTCAGTGACAAAGGCAAACGCCCTCCCTGCTGTACCATAGCTCTGGCCCCTGGACGGTTTTGAGGCCACACGGGGCAGTGCCCAGAGGCTATTCAGATCTTGGTCTCAGAGTGGCCAGCTGCACTGGGGGTGGCTCAGAGACCAAAGCCTTGTTGGGGATGTGATCAAAACTGGGCCTCCCGCAAGCGAAGTTCACACTATCCCTCTGGCTCGGTTCCAGACACTGCTTGTTCATTAATTTACACTGCATTTTACTTTACCCCTTGGGGGGTGGGGTGGGAGGGACACTGCATTTTAAAGCACCATCACCGGCAGCACTTTGACAACACCCGCTTGGAAGGGCCAAGGGTTTGAGTCTGACACTTGTGCTTCTGCAGAAGTCCCATTTCGAGTCTATCACCTACCGCGCAGGTCCCATAACACGCCTCCCGGCCAGGCTGGACTGGACTGGCAGGGGCTGCGGCGATGTTTCCGAAACGCAGCGCCTGTCCGGACACCCACACCCCCCTCCGACGACCCCCTACTGCCCCACCCCACCCCGCCACCCCCGCCAACGGCCCGAGCGGGGGTCGGCACCCAGTGCGGGTGCCCCGGGGCGTCCCCGAGCCCCACCTCCCCCGCGAGTCCCGCGGGGGCCGCGCACCTGGGCCAGCAGGGCGTTGCACACGAGCTGCAGCTTGTCCGGGGTGATGTCCACGGGCACGTCGAACGGGGAGCCCAGCCGCGCCCCCTCCTCATCCTTGAACTGCACCAGCAGCCGCTGCACGTCGCGCACCGCCGCCTCCTCCTGCTCCAACAGGCACAGCGGGCATCAGCCGGGACGTCCCGAGACCTCCCCCGCGCCCCCGAGACCCCGGCCCCGCCGCCCGCTCCGCGTCCACCTACCGCATCCGCCGCTGCCGCCTCGGCCGCCGCCATCCTTGCCGCGTCCCACGTGGAGGAGGAGCAGGAAGACGCGGGCGGGACGGAGCGCCGCCCCCATGGCCCCGGCGGCGCCGCCGCGCGCGCCCTCGCCCTCTGCTGTTGCGGAGGGGAAGTGCAACGTCGCGCCCCGGCGGGAGGCGCGAGGGGAGGAGGCGGTGTGGGTACCCGTAGCAGGGGATGCTGCTTTCACGCTCGCTGACTCCGGATGAGCGCACGATACAGATGGTCTTGGCATTTTCGGAACAGAGATATTAAAATTTTTTTTTCTCCGTGCGTCGTAGGTGAGGAGATCGGAGCTCTGAGCAGGTCACTAATTCCCCCGCCCACACCAATATTTTAGAGGTCAATGAGATTGAACCCCTGGACTGTCAGAACCCCTGCAGCGCGACGGATAACACTATTAGGTCGAATGCTGACCTTGTCTTTTTTTTAAAAATGCATCAAATCAATAGTAATTCTTCATTAATTTAATTATTTTTATTTTATTATTTTTATTTTTGGTCGACTCCCGGCGATGCTCAAGGGGCCCTATGGGATGCTGGGGAATCGAACAGGGGTCAGTTGCAGGCAAGGCAAACGCTACACCCGCTGTACTATTGCTCTGGCCCCTAGTAATTCTTGGATGCATAAAAGCCTTAATTACCTCCTACAGTTTTTTTTTTAACATCTATGGTCAGTAGTAATGATAACGACCATGCTAACGATGTCAGGCATTGGTCTAAGTGCTTCCCAGATACAGAATTTAGTCTTCACTGCTCTCTTCCCTGTTACAGACTAACGGACTAAAGGGATTTCCCTCCGCCCAGACTGTCAGCCCATCCTGAATCTATTTGCTCCATCTACTGCCACCTGCTGGCCTCTCATCTCATTCGATTTCCTACGATTTCCTCCCTGTTTCCCTTCTGCTTCCTCCTTGCGTTCTCCACACTGCAACCAGGCTGACGTCTTTTGTTTTGTTCCCCTGATTTGTTGTTGCTGCCCTCTCTGGGGGTTGACCCCTCATGGCACCGGATCCCGACAGCTGTGCCAGGAAGAAGCTTAGTGCCTGGGCTGCATCTCAAGGCTCCCACTGCAGCTTGTCTGGGGTGATGTTCCCGGGTATGTGGACATCCTGCAGGCACTCTGCCATTGCACGACAGCTCCTGGCCCCATGTGGTGAGGTTTTCAAACCAAAACATTGCTGTGACTCACCAGTCTAAAGTCTCAGTGACTGGAATTACACTCTGGGGGGAAAGTCAAATGCTTGGTGTTCACTCAGCCACACCTTTCCAGCTGTTCCTCTGTCTTTAAGATAAAATCTTTTCAGCTTTCTCTTGGTTTTTCCAAACTGTGATCATCCTGCATCCATGTACTCCCCGTGTGCCTGGATAGAGCTTATAAAGAAGCAATTGGGATTACAAAAGGCCCTCAAGGGAGAAGGCTGTTTCCTCCTAAGAGCAGTTCCTGGATCATCATCCCTTCTCTCTGTAGTCCCACTCAACAGAGATGACACAAAGGCATAGCAAGAAGGTGGCTCTGAACAACCCAGGAAGGTGGTGTCTCACCATTCACAGCCCTGTGGCACCAGATCTTGACTTTGAAGCCAGACAGGTTTAGATTTCATATCTTCTTAAAGCTGAGTATATTCCTTGGTGTGTTTATACCACGTATTTATCTGGTTTGGGGCACTTTTTTATTTTAGTTTTTGCTTGAGCGGGCCCAGTAACATCTCCATTGGAGACTTCGTTGTTACTGTGTTTGGCATATCGAATACGTCGCGGGGGGCTTGCCAGGCTCTGCTGTGCGGGCGAGATACTCTCGGTAGCTTGCCGGGCTCTCCGAGAGGGGCGGAGGAATCGAACTCGGGTCAGCCATGTTGGCTGCGTGCAAGGCAAACGCCCTACCCCTGTGCTAGACACCATGAGGTACAGTTGTAGACTTACAAATTTTGTGCTTGGGTTTCAATTATACAATGATCAAATACCCATCCCTCCACCAGTGCCCATTTCCCACTACCACGGATCCCAGTATCCCTCCCACCCCCCATCCCCAGGGCACTTTTTTTTTTAAATGCTGATCCCTTCTCTATCCTAACTGCCCTTCACCACACAAACACTCGTGTGGCAAGCTTCCAACCATTAACCAGTCCTCCTGGCCCCTGTTTACCCTCACCTTGGATATAAGTCTCATTCGCTACCTGTGCCTCTCCTTCTGACTCATTTCACTCAGCCTGATACTCTCCATGTCCATCCATTTATAGACAAATTTCATGACTTCGTTCTTCCTAACAGCTGCATAGTATTCCATTGTGTAGGTATACCACAGTTTCTTATCCAGTCATCTATTCTCAGGCATTCAGGTTAAAGAACACTTTTTGTTTTGGGCATGCCTGTTCATACCTTCGAATGTAGGTGACCACATCATACTGACCACCAAAGTCCCTCAGTCCAGTCCACCAGATCATTCCTCCCTAAAAAAAATTCTACTTTTCCCTTGGGAACTAGGTTCTGCAGTTAGAATTCAGGGTGGTTTTGATTTCTTTCCTATCCTTTTGCCTTGGTTCCTCTGTCTCACATAGGAATGAAACCACTGGGTACTTGTCTTTCTCCTTCTGATTCATTTTACTTAGGATAATCCCCTCAGACCCATCCATATTGTCATAAATGGCAAGATTTCATATCTTTTTTTAAATTTTTATTAGTGAAACTGTACCTCAAAGGTGTAGTTGTAGACTTACAAATTTTTGTGCTTGGGTTTCAATTATACAATGATCGAGTACCATCCCTCCACCAGTGCCCATTTTCCACCACCACGGGTCCCAGTATCCCTCCCACCTCCCCATCCCCCCCACCCCACCCTGCCTTTTGGCAGGGCATTCCCTTTTGTTCTCTCTCTCCTTTTGGGTGCTGTGGTTTGCAAAAGAGGCATTGAGAGGCAATCATGTTCATGTTTCAGTAAGGATTTCATATCTTCTTAAAGCTGAGTATATTCCTTGGCGTGTCTATACCACAAATTTATCTGTTTTGGGGCACCTGGGTTATTTTCATATATTGGCGGTAGTAGAGAGTGCTGCAGTGAACATTAAGTGCTTCTATGCAAGGGGTAGGGTTACTGGGTCCGTGTGTGTGTGTGTGTGTGTGTGTGTGTGTGTGTGTGTGTGTGTGTATTTTGGCAGTTCCAGAAGCTGTACCTATATGAACTCATTTCATCATTTGCGCAGGGAAAACTCTGATTTACTACATGGTCTCAAAAAATCCGGTATCTTCATATTTATTTAATTAAATTTGGGGGGATTGTTTTTGTTTTGGGGACATACCCAGTGGTGTTTAGGGATGACTCCTGGAATCCCTCCTGGCAGGGCTTGGGTGACCAGACAGAGTGTCGGGAATTGAACCTGGGATAGCCCCGTGCGAGGAGGATGCCTTACCTCTTGTGCTATCTTGTCCAGCCTTCGCCTTTAAATTTAGAAACTACAGATCCATGGAACCATTTGATCCGTTCATTCAGCTCATACTATTGAATGCCTGCTATGGATCTCATACCACTTGGAATCTGCAAGTGAGCAAAATATATTCAAATCTTTGCCTGGGTGAGTGTTCTCTGTTTCCATTGTACCATATGAATATTAGCTGTTTGAAAAATGTCTAGATGAAACATAATAGATGTTTCCTTCCTGTACTCCGCTTCCGCCTCTATGGCAAGCACTTTTCTTCCCTCTCTCTCTCTCTCTCTCTCTCTCTCTCTCTTTCCTTTTGGGTATTAGGGTTTGCAATATAGATACTGAATATAGATACTGAAAGGTTATCATGCATATAACTGGGAGGGAAACTGGGCACATTAGTGGTGCAAAATGTACACTGGTAAATGGATGGGTTGGAACATTATATGACTGAGACCCAATCAAAAACAATAGCACAGTGGGTAGGGCGTTTTCCTTTCACGCGGCCGATCTGGGTTCTAGTCCCAGCATCCTATATGGTCCCTTGAGCAACACAAGGAGTGTTTCCTGAGTGCAGAGCCAGGAGTAACCCCTGAGCATCTCCGGGTGTGACCCTCCCCCCAAAAAAACAACTTTGTAACTGTCTATCTCACTGTGATTCAATTTAAAACATTTAATAAAGGTATTTGAACTAATTTGATCCAGTAATAAATGGATCTCATTTCCCTAACCCTGATTATGCAGAGTCGAGAAGGATATGGAAGGAAAAGCTGATAAAACACCAAGGCAGACATGGGCTGCCAAAACGCAGAAAAACAAAAATGATTGTCTGTACTTTTAATGCTCGTACGCTGGCATCTGCTGCATCCATTGAAGACCTTATGGTACAAGCACGAAAGATCAAGTACGACATCATTGGTCTGACCGAAACGAGAAGACATCAATCCCATCATGCTGTTTTCAACACTGGAGAAGAACTGTTCCTTGGAACATGTGATAAAAGAGGCGTCGGTGGTGTCGGTATCCTTGTCAACACAAACTTAGTCACAAGCATTGATTCATTTGAATGCCTAACAACCCGAATCGGACGATTACACTTGAATAAATGTGGCTCACTACCGGCAGTTTCTATCTTTGTTGTCTACGCACCAACATCCAGTTATGGTGAAAAAGAAACTGAGAAATTCTATATGGAGCTGGAGAAATTCTATAAAGAAGATCACACCTTCTACAAGATCATTGTCGGTGATTTTAATGCCAAGATAGGACCAAGAAGATCAGTCGATGAACTCCACATCGGAACCCATGGCCTGGAATGGAACGAACAAGGTGACAGACTGTCTGAGTTCATCATGTCAACCAAAACCTTCCATGGTAACTCACAATTCCAAAAGGCTGAATCTAAACGTTGGACATGGGAGTCTCCCGATGGACGGTTCCACAATGAAATAGACCACATCATATTCAATCGGCGGTTTTGCCTAACCGATGTTGCTGTTGTCCCAAAATTCCAAACGGGATCAGACCACCGTCTTCTTCGTGCAAAATTCTACCTCACAGAACGAGGAGAAAAGAATGCAAG